TGTGCAGATTTCTCTCCTGATTCAGACCAGAACACTTTTTCACCGGAGGAAGCGTTATTATGGATTATGAACTCGTATTTGAGCTAAAAACGTCTTAATGATGGATTAGTTTCAGCTTTTGTCTTCTCCAGATGTTATCTGATGGACTGGAGTGCTGTGGATTACTGTGATGTTTTTATCAGCTGTTTGGACTTTTTGTAGAGTTTGTAGAGTCACTTATAAGTGAGCCATTTGTAGGTTGATTTCATTGAAAAGCCTAACACTGTTATCGGCACACACTTCTGTCCTGCTTGATTTTATACTTCAGATGGGGCAGAAAACACATCTGTACGGTCGAGACCTCATACAGACACAACACCTCGAGGGCAAACGCATCCCAGAAACCAGCATGAAGATTATTGTTGAATGTTTGAGTTCAAACTGAACTGATTCAGATTCAGTATCTCAGGTCTGAAGGGCTGAAAGCTGTATTCATATCACAAATGTTGAGGAGGCCTTTTCAGCGAGGATACATTTTTATCACAATGTAATTTGGAAACTGGATAAGATTTGATTTCGCATAAGCTGATTAGAAATATCTCAAATATCACCATACCGGAAAATGGGGAGAGATGGGAAATTATCCAAATGAAAATGCATTACAGATACACTACAAGTCAAATGCTTGGCCACATCTGCTCGTTCTTTATTATGACTATTATTTCTTCTGCTCACCAAGGCTGCATTTATTAGATCAAAAATACAGTAAAATATTGTGAAATATTATTAGAATTTAAAATAACTGTTTTGAATATATTTTAAAATGTAATTTACTCCTGTGATGCAAAGCTGAATTTTCAGCAGCCATTGAAGGAGAAATGTCATGAAATGGGAATTTAAATCTAATTTAAATCTAAATACAGATAAAAGTCAAAAGTTTGGATGCATCTACTCAATCTTTATTACGAGTAATATTCAAAAACAGAAAATAGTCATGAAACCTATGAAATAAAACAAATGGGAGTCTGGGAATGATGTAGAGATCAAAATATGCGACAAATGAAATCTCTCTTATATTTGAGCTGCTTCTTTCATGCTTTGGACATTCAAGTTTTAAAATGATTAATCGAATTCCAGTTTTGTAAACAAAGTAATACAACGTCACAATTTGTCAACAAAACTAATTTAAAACATGGAGAGAATGATTTTTTTGATTAAATCTATAGATGGATACTTATTTGCAATAGCAAGAAAAATGGACTGTTTACAACTTCATGACCACTGTATGATTTGACACACATTTCCATCAATATAATTCATGTATGGATGCATAGGTTACGACTGTTATACTGAGTTCTGTTGTTTTTGTCCTCAGTTTAAAGAAAAAAAAAAAAAAAAAACTAATTTAAATTGCTAATGCATGTTTTTTTGAAGCCTCGCTCAAGTGTGTCCAAACATTTGACCAGTGATGCATATCAAATATAGCGTAAGTTTATAAAAATGTCTAAATACATTACAAAACAGCCACCTGTCGGGGTTTCACATCCTCTGTGGCACGAGAAATGAGTCAAAACTAAACGAAAACACACAAATCTCTCATCCCATAAGCAGTGAGAAAGGCTGTTCTCTAATTACGAAGCAATAACAAACCTATTTAACGAGACATGAGACGCTCTGACCGGGTTGCCAGTTAATTGACTCCCCCCCAAATACCCCCCACAGGCGTCCGGGAGGGATCGGACCGTCAACAGATGCAGCGGCTGCCACTCAAACACAGCTCAGCGGCAGCAGCCAGGGACGTGGAAACCTCACGGCAGAACCTGCAGCCCGGCCCGGCCTCAGAGGATGGTGCAGAAGAACTTCTTCTCCCGGAACGGGTTTTCTGAGGCCGGGACAGGCACGATGAGCGGGTCCTCTCGTATATGAGCGTCACAGTACGCCATCAGGTCCGCCGCAGCCTTGGACACCTGAGGACAGAGTTAGGGGTTTAGATATGGCATAGATTTTGAAAGAAGTCTCTTCTGCTCACCAAGGCTGCATTTGATTTATTTAAAAATACAGTAAAAATTCTGAAATATTTTTACAATTTAAAATAACCGACATCTATTGAAATCATTCTAATATGCTGATTTGCTGCTCGAGAGACATTTCTGATTATTTGCAATGTTGAAAACAGTTAATATTTTTGTGTAAATATTAATAAAAAGTTCAAAAGAACAGCATTTATTTGAAATAGAAATCTTTTGTAACATAATAAAGGTTTTTACTCTCACTTTGGATCAATTAAATGTGTCCTTGCTGAATAAATTAAGATTTTTTTTCTTTTAATTTTACTTTTTGAATGGTAGTGTGTCATGG